GGTGAAGAGCCACACAAGTGGGGAAAAGCCGGGAGGTGACGGGAACTGCTGCTAGAGCAAAGGCAGGAGTTCCCAAAGGACCAGCCCTGCAGCGGCCAAGTATTCCGGATGGATCTTCCGAGCCTAAAACCTGCCCGCACTTCAGACTGCAGTGCCGTTCTGTGTGGACGGGGTGGAAAGGTGCCCTTGCCCACAGAGGGGAGGTGCACGGAGCAGCCTGGCCCCTGGCCTGAAAATGCAGCAGCTCCTCATTTCCACCTCTGCGCACTGAAAGTCCTCTGCGTATCTGTGCTGAGCTAAGGAGGAACTCTAGTCTTCTTCATACCATTATCTGATGTTATGAAATAYATCTGGCGCCGTACCCGCGGTGACCAAAGCATCTTTATTGCCTTTTGCTGGAGCCAGGTGCCATCTCGGATGGCCAGCAGTTCAGTACAGACACTGGGCAACACATCCGTTATGCGCAGGCCCGTCCGGACAGAACCTGCAGCGAAAAGCAGCTTTACAAAGGAACAAGTGACTTGCCATGGCAGTGCAATGGAATACGAAAAAGCTGGTCAGAGCTTAGTTCCTTTTAAAACTGGCACTGTACTTTTCCTTAGAAAGGTTATGTGCAGCTAGGCGGTGGCTTTTAGAGTTTTATAATTTCATTTGACAAAGTGTTTTCAAAGTGCATCACACACCACCCCTGTGTCCCTTAYTTCCAACTGTTTCATAAATACATGGAGAACAGGGGGAAAGCCTCTCCGAGGAGTTCTTCCATACAACCCCTTTTAATTCAGTGCATTTTTGTTTATTGATTTCTAATTCTTGTCTCATTGGGGCTTCCTCCAGATGCTTTGAGGCACGGGTTAAAAATAAATAGCTCAAATGAGGCAATTGCTGAGCCCTTGCCTGCATCAAACTGTTATTTCTCCATCAGCTCTTAYGCAGACTTGTCTCCTGGCAGATATGTTGTATCAGCTGCCAAGGAAACCCACTCTACTTTCTGGTAGGTTTGCCTCCCTGTCAGGTCTGTATACAGGTCTGTACAGAGGTACTGAAACTGGCCATACAAATCTAAATTGAAGCAGTTCATGTAGCAGGCAAGTGGAAGATGGAATGAGTAGGTCCTCATCTGAAAATATTAATAGCAGGATTGATGTAAGAATATTATTAACTGGGGGAAAATAATGTGAGGCAAGGGGTGAAGCCTGACCAACGGTCCCAGGATTAGGAAAGGCTTAGTGGGTGCCCAGCGGAGCGGCTGCAGAGCCCCTGCCCTGCTCCCGGCAGGGGAGGTGACACCCAAGGGAGCAGCAGCAAGGAGACAGAAAACTACACACATTAGATCGTATGAAGGGGGCAGTTTGCATCTGCATGTCAGTGTGGAGTGCTAAAAACTCTTACTTTTTTTAAAAAATTATTACCAAACTCCACAAGAAACTGATCGAAGAACACAGGCAAATTGCTACTTGTTTAGCATCTTTCACTGATAGATGAGGTTTAAAAATAGTTAGACTGTGCCTATCTGGCCCATTTCCCCCCACTTGCTTCATGATTTAGAAAGCTGTGTGCTGAGTTTATTCATCAGGCACAGGTTTTGTAGCAAATCTTCAAAATTTCATCATGGCTTAAATAGCAGCAATGCCCTAATGCTACTGCATAGAAAACAGCTATAAAGGCAACCGCCTCCTGCATGGAGCCCCCATTCTCACACATACAGGGCAGCTCACACTCAACTAAATATGGAAGAAATGAGATACGAAGCAATAAATACCCAAAAAGGAGCCGGCACAAAGGTGTGAAGGAAAGGACACACAGGGAACGTGTGTGTTACAGAGCTCCCATCCCACTGGTGAAGAGACTGGCCAGAACTGGCTATAAAATCCCCAAGATCCTGGGTAATCCAGGACCTCAGAGACAGCGGCACGGAGAAGGAAGACCAAAGCTTCGGAGCGGGCGGTTACGTGGCATTAGTGGCGGGAATAAATAATATTAGCAGCTCAACAGCCTGGTGAACACGTCACTGCTGGACAGGGACCTTCTCTGAGATGAGGCATCTTTCCACGCCGCTCCTTGTCGCAGTGGCTCCAATGTCTGGGCCTATTCTATTCTTTTTGGTTATTTTCATCAGGTTAATTCCAGTATTTGTCACAGGAGAAGAGCCACGCATCCCCGTGGGAAGTGATACAGCCTGGCCACAGCGCAAGCGCTCATTCTTGGACACGTTTCTTCAAGGAAAAGATGTAAATGTTGAAGTGCTCGCTCAGCTGCCTCCCCTAAGGACAGAGCACAGCGGTTAGGACAGTGGTTTGGTACCTGCCTCGGCAAAGTCAAGCCAGAGGGGACCCCATCCAATTCCCCCACAGATACTAAGGCAAGAGAGCTGTGCCCCTTCCATACGGCCCCCATTCATGGGTGCAGTGCAACTGGGTCCACTCCTTCGCTACTCGATTTTGACTGGGAAGCTCCTTCCTTCCCAACCCCACTGGCAGCACCGCATCCAGCCCCTCGCAAAGCCCCTCAAAGCAGGGAAGAAGCCTCTTTCAAATGCAGGGAACGAGAAATCCTTCCAGCCCAACAGCACGTCTCAAATAAAAAGGAATTTGCCCAAGTCCCTGTTAAACAACCATCTGAGACGTTTCCTCTGGGAACAACCTGCCGTTAAGACCCTTTCCTCAGGATTATTTGCCAAGGCTCTTTAGAAGGAAAGGGAATTAGCTGAGGAGAATTGAGTGTGGGGGGTAATTCAGGTGACAGTAAGTGACAGATGTGATCTCCAGCAGACACGAGGAAGGGCCAGGGAGGCTGAACTGGAAAGGCCGCCGTGTCCCCAGCTCGAGGCGCTGAGGGYGGCTGTGACCAGCCATGACCAGCACCCAGCGCGTGCAGCTGCTCTGCGGTGGGATTCACACCCCCGTTAACCACCTGGCTCCACAAACTCCGTGTCTCTTTTCCTTCCACTTCCCCACCCGCTTTGGCCTCCAGGCAACCTGAGGAAGCCCCAAGGAGGCGGCAGGGCTGGCGGAATCCCAGCCACCCGCATGGCGGCCGGCCGAAAGAGCAGCTCCCTTCCACCCTCGAGCCCCAACATGGCCCCAGAACTGGGCAAAGGAAGAGGGCGAAGGAAGGGGACGAAGGAAGAGGGCGAAGGAAGACGGTGAAGGAAGAGGGTGAAGGAWGAGGGCGAAGGAAGATGGTGAAGGAAGAGGGTGAAGGAAGAGGGTGAAGGAAGAGAGCAAAGGAACAGGGTGAAGGAACAGGGTGAAGGATCAGGGTGAAGGAACAGGGCAAAGGAACAGGATGAAGGAACAGGGTGAAAGAACAGGGGAAAGGAACAGGGTGAAAGAATAGGGCAAAGGAACAGGGTAAAGGAAGAGGGTGAAGGAACAGGATGAAGGAAGAGAGTGAAGGAAGAGGGTGAAGGAACAGGGCGAAGGAAGAGGGCAAAGGAACAGGGCAAAGGAACAGGGTGAAGGAAGAGGGCGAAGGAACAGGGCGAAGGAAGAGGGTGAAGGAAGAGGGCGAAGGAACAGGGTGAAGGAAGAGGACAAAGGAAGAGGGCGAAGGAAGAGGGTGAAGGAACAGGGTGAAGGAAGAGGACAAAGGAAGAGGGTGAAGGAACAGGGTGAAGGAAGAGGGCGAAGGAAGAGGGTGAAGGCAGGCAGGGCGGTGCGTGCGCCGCTGCCCACCAGGCACCCACTCACCACGCAGACGCCGTAGTGCAGGTGTGCGGCGGTGGCGCCGAGGGCGAGCAGGGCGAGCGCGGCCTCCTCGGCGGCGCCGGGCAGCGCGGCAGTGGCGGCGCCGCACACCACGATGGCGAGCGGCGCCAGGAAGGCGTGCAGCGGCGCGGCGCGGCTGCCGCTCATCTGGCACACGATCACGCGGCACTGCGGGGAGGGAAGGAGGCRCCATGTTGAGCCATGCGCCCRGCGCCGCCGGMTCCRYGGGGAAAGCGCTGGCTGCCCTGCCACAACGGGGCTCCTTTGGAGGGCGAGAACTGCTCTAAMTGGTTATCCCTGTGCCTTGTAGCCTGCCCTTGCTGGGGGACTTGATTACTGTAATTTAAGCTCCCCATCTCTTCTGTGGAAACGAGTGTTTCAACACGTGGCAGCGCTTCATGAAGCCCAGGTCTGCGAAAGGGGGCTCTGCTCCACACTTCCCCTTGACTAAAACACAATTTCGGCACATCCGAAATACCTTATCATTTTACATTTCCCTCAGAATTTCAACGGGTTTAAAATTATTATCTCTTGACAGTGAGGGTGACAGAGCCCTGGCACAGGCTGCCCAGAGAGGTTGTGGAGTCTCCTTCTCTGGAGATCTTCAAAACCYGCYTGGAKGCMGCCCTGTGCCCCGTGCTCTGGGTGACCCTGTGTGAGCAGGGGGGTTGGACTAGATGACCTCTGAGGTCCCTTCCAACCTTAAGCATTCTATGATTCTATGATTATAGTTAAAATAGCTTTTCATATACGCTACTCAATCCCTCTGTTGCGCTTGATSGTAACAGAAGGAGTCTGAATGAAACCTAAGCACAGGGATACGAAATACTGGTTTTAYTCTTGGTGCTGGGGAAGATGAAGAATGCAAAAATGAAACATGTAAAATTAACTGACCTTCAATACCGTAAGAACTAAGCACTTGCACCTAATGTAAGTATATTTGCTTACAATGAATTATCAGCACTGATCATGATTTTTTCTAAATACTATCAATTTTATGAGTCCTTTAGGATTTGTTCAAGAGCATGTCAAAAAGTGCTAATGCAATTTCTCTAATATATGAATATATGGTGTGTTCTTTCTTTTTTTAATTTTGCTTGTTTTTCTAAATGCTTGCACCTCTTCAGAGGTTGGATTTCATCAAGTTTTCAACCATTATTATCTCATGCTAAGTACAGTACTCCATTTTCCATTAAGATTTGTCACTAATGCTTGGAGCAATTAGCAATTCACCTTTAGCATATCACAAGGCTGCACAATGGAGCATTCTCCATGTCTCTCCCTCCAGCCCTTATTCCCTCAGCTGTCAGCTTGGAGCCAGCTTGGAGCTTGGAAGGAGTCCTGCTCCCACCACAGAGCACTGGGAAAAGCAGCTCTCCTCTCACAGATAAGCAGCTTTCTTATTTTTTTTCCTTTATTTCTTCTTTTTTTTTTTTTTTGGAGGGGGTGGGTGGGAGGTTAGTCTTGCAAACCTTTTTCCCTAATTTCCATTCTGGAAAATGCCCATTTTCCAGGCCCTCCTGCTGGAGGCCCTTCCTCTGCCTTTTCCCAGGAAACCGGTGCCTTCACGGCTGCTCTGACATTGCAGAGCTGTGAGGTCAGGCTCCAAACCAGGCCCTGAGACAGAAGWATCTAGTGGGCAACTAAATATGTTGTCAAAGGCATGAGAAGTTCAAGATAGTGGCAGGYAGTGAAATGCGCCTTGCTCTTTGTGGTCTACAGATAATGAAAACCCAACGTGTCAGAATATCGTGGAGCAAAAAAGCACTGCTGTGACAACCTTGACTGTTGCTGAAGGAAGGGTGTGCATAAGGTACCAAAGAAGGTTAAAAAAAAATAAAGAAAAAAGTAATATGGGCTTATTTTTTGCTTTCAAAATGTTATAAATTTCAAATAATACACACACATTTTTAATTTTTGCAAGCCTCTAATACTGCAGTAGTTGCTTAGGTAAAAGAAAAAACATGGTCTTAAGATCATGCACCATCTAATGAACTGCAGCCCACTCAGACACTTGTGGTTTGTCTGATGACTTCTTTTTCTGGAGCATCCTGCCACCGAGGTGCTCGGCTGGCCGAAGTGCCTGGGCAGAACCTGCCATCTGGCAAACTCGGCAAGCACCTGCCTCACTAGCAGAAAGCTGTGCTTCTCATTTGGGAATAGGTACTGTCCTCYTTAGGAAAAATACACACACTGAATAATGAAAAATCCATACAATAAAAGTTAAAATTTGGGAAATAAAAATGTCCATCCTTGCAAGGTTAAGTTCTTAAAGAGGGACCTGTTTGATACAGGGCCCCGAGAACTGTCACTGAGAGGATACACCAACAAGCAGCACAGTTCTGATTCCTTTTCCCTCCCTCCCTACAGATTTCTAGAGGGATTACTTCCCATTTTAAAATCAGTGGATTTTAAAATCATTTTAAAATCCCACACAGGGAAGGGGAAATGTGGGATGAGCTGCACCGTGTCCCCACCACAGCAGTGGGCAGAGCAGCAGGGAAGGCCACCACTGCCCCTGCTCTGCTGCCAGACCTGTGCCTGCATTTAGCTTTGGGTGACTTAGCCAAGCCCCTGGCTCCGCTTGGGGGCTGGTGAATGTGTGCTACACATGAAAGAAAAAGCCTCCCCAGGGTTGTTCATAAGAAGGAATATTCAAGAATATTCAAGAGCCCAGTAAGGGCTCCCAGCAGGTGTCATTGGCGGGGACAAGGGCTGCAGGGCGGTCTCATACATGACAGCAGGACACGGAAGAAGAAGAAGAGCAGTGGAAGCGAGTGTTAACTGCATCTCTGGGGGCCCTTGTGCTTATTCACATGGAACCAGAAGTCTCACTCACAGAAAGCTGCCTTTAAGTACATACCAGCACCCCAGGAATACTTACAACAACATTTGAGAAAGCAACCCCAACCATCCACAAAAAGAGCCTCGGTTGCTTTGCTAATATGTTGCCCGGTGATAAAACCACCCAGACTGTAAGAAGAATGAACAGCAACAGAGGTGACACAAGAGGTAGAAGTCCTTCATACAAAGAACCAATCTTCAGTGTTTTCTTTAAACGTGCTCTGTAAATAAATACAATGATTTTATGGAGTAAGAAAACGTATCCAGTCTATTTCCCCACAGTAACTTCAAACTCCAGCCTCAAGAACTCACCTTACAAACACAACTACTTGTGCAAACGTGTTACACAGCCAGACATTTGAGGAGAAGTCATRGAATACCTGGCAGCATTTATTTCCAGGCTAAAATTATAATGTTCTATTCACACAGCTTCTGGTCAGCTTCACCCATTGCTCGTGTCTCCCAACAAGCCACCAAGCTCACACCAAGGCAGCTGCAGTAGCTCTGCTATTGCTCTTATCCCCCAAAAGCACAGCAGCATGCAGACTGGCTGTGAATTAAAAATMGTAATTTCCTTGGATATTTTAAGCTGCCTTCTAAAGGTAGGAATATTTCTGGTAATAATGGACTGTATTTTCTGTCAGCTAGGGAAAATCTAACAGCGAGATCCAGAGCTTCTGTATCTATTTTGCATCCTTCTCACTGAAGCAAAACGTGTGTTGAGAGGATGTTAAACAGGTGGGAGGTTGAATTCACTAAGCTTTACTCTGATTAAGCCAATTCTTCATCATCATGGTTCGGAATATCAGAAGTTTGATGTGTACTGGAAAACATCTTGTTTAAAATGTCTGAATATTTGTGTTTATAAAAAACAACTAGACAAAAATCTGGTAAGTATTTTTCTCATTCCAAAAAGCAATATTCTTCTGATAGAATAACAAGTAAGAACTGGCAGCACGATTAAGAGCAGGGGAAGTTTATTGGAAAACCTCAAATTCTTCATCACCAAATAATCTGCGARAACCTCCTCCAAGCACTCCAGACGGGATGTTTGGAATTACTCTACTCTTCTGTTTCAAGGAATGAGAAAACCCACCAGAAGGCCCGAGAGAAAATATGCCGGATGATGACATGAGAAGGAAAACACTCCACAAAAGCCCCAGAAGAAGAGGGATGAAAKGACAGACTGAGCATTCCTCAGTCCAAAGGCGGCTGCTAGCGGGGCTTGGCAGTGTCAGGGGTGCCCTTCCTCTTCCTCCTCTTCCTCCTCCTCCTCCTCCAGGTTTCCCTGCTTTCCTGCAGCTCCACAACCTCTCCTGCCCGAACCTCCTGGATTCTCCACTTCTCCTGCCTCAAACTCAAGGCTGCCCCTGCTTTTATCAGCTCTAGTGAGTATCACAAGAGTTACTGCCTTGTACTCACTCCCAAATTCACATTMATTCCTGCCTATAGTCCAAGACAGGGAGTGACAGTGCCTCCTCTGGGACASGCAGGCTCTGAGACCTAACGTGACRTGTGAGCGAGATGGGCAAGCACGTACGGAGCAAGGCAGGACAGCACAGAGCAGCACAGGCCACCAGAGAGCAAAGCAGCTGTGTGTCCATTCCTGGGGCTGTAAGGAAGGCAGCTCCTAGACGTAATCACTGGCTGGTTTGCCACCAGCCTTGCCTGTGTCTGACAGCAATTATGTGCAGATTCCCTACGGAGGGGAGTTTCACAGATGGCTCTGGAAGACAATAAACTCGTTTATGGAGTGCAGGGTGACCAACTGCAGGGTTTTACCTACAGCAGGTTGAAGTTACAAACTGTGCTTGACTGCAAATAAAATACAATATCTTGAACTACAGAGCATTCAACAACCTACTATCCAGGTGGGACTGCCCTGCCTGGAGAATGACATGGGAAGGGAAAAACAGAGGTGTTACTGCAAACCTGGAAAAGAAACTGGGCTGACTCTGAGACCCTGAGCACAGAAGAACTTAGAGCACGTTATGAAGACAGGATCTGGCCGAAAGACACTGGGCTAGTTCAAACATTTATTTCTCAGGTGAGGAAATCATTAAAAACACCAAATTGAACAGGAGGGGATAGAAATTATTCAGTATTACTTCACTTACCTGTGAATGTTGTACAGTGTTTGTGGAAATGAAAGAAATAAACTGAAACCTGGAAGAAAAAAAAAAAAAAGATTCAGTGATGCAGTGATTCAGTGATGCAATGGCTACAGACACATAATGCAACTGAGCAGCAAGGCCTGGAAGCAAGCTCCCCTTCCAAATGGGAGAGGGAAGGACAATGAGCAGCAGCCGGTATTACAGGGGAAATAGCAGACTTGTAATTTAAAATATTAATTCAACCAGTGGCCTGCTTTGCTGATAGAGCCCCCGTGAAGTGACTTTGCAGCCACAGCACAGGCAGCATTTGCACGAGCGAGGTTTCATCCCTCGTGTGTAAGCGCAGCCTCCGCGGGGCTGCGAGCGGAGCCCGAGGACCTCGCGAAGCTCCCTGGCCCTGCCGCCGTCTGCTGCGTGCAGCCGTGGTGGAGCAAAGACCCCGCCACGGGGCCCTGCAGAACGTGCACCCATATCATACTGCGGTACCTCTGAGGGCCAAGGACCCAGCTGCCAGCGGAGATCAAGGTGGAAAGCAAAGCGCCAAGGGCTGGGCAACAACGCGGTGCAAAATCACGTGGTGCAAAATCACCTAATTCTCCTTTGRTCTGCGACACACATTTGCTGCTCTGTGTTTCCCTGGGGGAAGGAGGTCTGTGTTTTGGGCTGTTTTTCACTCCTCTCTGGCGATCAAGTGCTCTCCACCTGCTCTGCTTGCAAATTACTCCATGGAGCCTATTTCCTTCTGCCTTTCATAGTATAAGGCCTGGGGATGGTTACAGATGCACCAGATTCATGCAAAATTAGTCTTTGGATATGGGCAACACTCTCCAGTGATGTAAACCTTTAACTTTAAAAACCTTTTAAAAAATCCCACTTATAAAACAGTGCAAGTTTGCCTGTACAGAACAGAACACAAGCAACCTTTTATCTCATTACTGGAGATAAGGCAGAGTCAGCAGCAGCAGGAATGCACGTGAGAAGTCCCTAGTTCAGATTACTCTGTCCCAGAGCTAACCCGGCACAGCAGGACCTAAAGCAGTGTCACTGCTTCCTGTCAGTCCCTGTCGAAGAGATACCTGAGTAAGTCTCTAGCAGGCTCAGCTCAGACTAGCACCTCAAAACAAGGCAAACCAAGACAAAGGAACAGCGGAGATCAGGATTGTCAGGAAACAAAAGTCAGAAAAGAGATGCAATAGGTAGCATAAAATCCTAGCATTTCCAATTGCCTTTTAAAGAGCAAGAAAGCATGATGTGGAAAAGGAATATCCAGACTAAAAATTTCAGGTCTTGTATTTTTAGGTGTTTAATTACTTGTTTCCTTTTATAAAAGATGAGAAAAAAAAAGAGCTCTGCTTCTTTACCATGGCAGCATCTTCATGGCGGCACCACAGAGCTGAGGCATGTGCAATGGAAGCAATATCTCAAATATTCTTTAAATACATTTACAAAGCTCTCAAGGTTAGTGCCTTCAGAACTATCTGTGCTTAACGTGCCCTGCAGTTCRCTATGTTTTCTATTAGGCAGGGAGGGCCAGCTCAATAAAATCTTGAGTTACGTACAGCAGTCCCAACATCTGCATCACATTAGAGCAGACATGAGACAAAACACTGACTCTTGAGGTTAAATCTAAATTTCCTGCTGCAATCCTGCAGTTTGATTTGTTAGGAGAAAAGCAACCAAGAGGAACAGAAATAGAGACGGGAACTAGAAATAGAATTCAAAGTCCAATGGTTGCCAACAATTTGTTATTTTTATGAAGTGCCATTTTAGTTAGAAATAACACATTGACCACAAACAATCCCCAAGTTAGCCAGAAGTCACTTCCAGAAGGGGACTGTTACACCAGTGACTCCCCTGCATTGTGAGCCCCTTTTACCAGAGAGGGAGCTGAGGATGCGGTAGGGAAAGCAAAGGGTGTTTCCCCCTTTCTTTGGGGATTTTCAGAATTCCATCATTTCCTAGACGTGTTGCTTTCCCATCTCTTTTTAGCTGAGGAGGCCTGGCTCGGGGGCTGCTTTTGGAACTCATTAAGACTGCTTTTAATTGGCATTAAGGATTGCTTTGTGCCCGGGGGCTACGCTGCTGCTTCCGCATTGCTGCCATTCCCTGCTGCTCTGCGGAACAAAGGGCTCAGCCTGGAAAAGGAGCCCGGCTCCGGCTCTGGCACCAGCCCCCTCCAGGGCTGCCCTGCCGAGGACACCACTGCCTTTTCTTCAATGTCCCAAAAGCACGTATTTTATTTATTTATTATCTAAGAACTCAAACTTAGTCCATGTTTTCGACACATTGCAGCAAAGCAGAACAAGTTACRTGTTGCCACTGCAACTGCCTTTCCATTTTTTCCCGTTATTATCTCCCCCCGTTTTCTAGCAGATTGAAAACATGAGACACAACTGTACTGTTTTCAAAGCAGAGACACTAAAGCGCAGATGGGTGGCACAGACACACACATGGAATTCCTATTGTCACGCTCGGCTAAGAGTGTCAAGCCCAAATCCTAGGATTTAGGCACAGTCCTATGACTTGTCCTATCTTAACTCCCTTTTTTTATAAGAAATAAACAACTGTAAAGCTCTATATCAGGAATTATCTTGTCTATATAAAAACAAAGCAAAACAAAAAGAACAAGCATTTGGTAATCCAGGACTAGAGGTATGTCAGAAGTGAAGATATTACTGACTTTTCATATAAATAAAGAAAATATTGTATAAATAAATGAATATGTATTTATGTATTTCAAAAGAAAATTCCCATCAATTCTAGGAACAATTTCAGATTCCATTTGGTGATTTCCAATTCCCAAACTCTATGGTGTTTGTAAGCGAACACACCCCCCGCAAAGGAATTACCATCTGAGAGATACCCTAGTACTTTTGGGCCCAGTTCTACTCTTTCATCCCAGTCCAACAGTCATGTGTGCAGGCTCACTTTAAGCTGGAATTTCCACAGCATGATACTAAGCGTGGCTCCTGTACCTGAGCTTATCTTGGCGTTTCTGCAAAACACGGACTTGCTGGTACAGAAAGAGAGGGTAAGTGCAGAAATGARGCCCGACCTACTCACGCTGTGAAACGCTCTTTGGGCAGCCAACAGGAGCGACTTCCCCTGACCATCACCTGCCCTCCCTTCACTTTCAGATGACTTTCAGATGAAGGCAGAAGAGCCAACTGAACAYCCCAAACCGCACAGATTTTATGCACCCTAAATGCAGAAGGAGCCGTACACCAGAAACACCATTATAACAAATTCTCTCACTTCAAAGGAGGAACTGTATTTATCTGAGCTGCTTCTTCCCCATTCCTCTCTTACTGCAAATCACACTCGTTGCTGTGTTTCTGACAAGTGACYCTTGCTTACGCTGTCCTGAGAGAACAATCTCAGCTGAAATATTATGTTTTAATAATTGGCTTCCCTTCCTACTTAAAAGTTCAGGACTCGGACGGTGCAAAACACTGATGTCATTTGTAGGTGAACACCACACTTGGAGCGGGGAGGCTCTGTTCAGATAAGGATCTTCCCATTCCTCCCCCTGCAAAAAGAAGTCTTCTCAGAGCAATGAAACTTCCTCCCATTTTGGAGGCTCTGGAGAGGTCYGTGTAAACCTTTTCCTTGGCACACAGCAGAAATTCAGCTCARGGAAAAAGAGCTCCTTAACACTGAGCAGTTGTAGTTGCATTTRAGCCTACAATTACCCCTCTCTTGTGCTTTCCTTGTTCATTATTCCACATTGCTTTCCTCAGGATCCTGCTTAGCCTTTCCAGAGTTGTAACTCATCATCGCCAATGCTCATTAAAGAAATGGATGTTAATACATCACTTTCTTAGCAACTAGACAAAAAAAGTGTATTTAGGTCTTGCAGCTTCAAAAAATCTTCCACAGTTTTCCCACATTTCTTCCAGTATCTTCCACATTKAAAGCAGACAAGACTACGGAAAGACCTTAACAAATTGGAAGGTTAGTTCACTCATCGGTATCTAACAGCAGGCTTCGTTAGAAGGTGAATATTAGGAGCACTTCTAACTAGCACAGCAGCTTTTTATGGAGCACAGGGATTTCCACAGCCCTTTCTAGAGAAGAACGCTGTTCAAATTGGTTGTGCAAACAGATAATTATGTATTGAGCTGTGCATGGACCATAAAATTACACTTTATTATTGTAAACAATGGCAAACTTAGAAGCACTTAGTAATTAAAAAAAAAAAAAAACTCTTAGAAAATGAATATATAATTTTCAGACTTAAAGCAGCCTGTAGGTGTGCATCCTGCAAGCAATGTAAGCGCACACGAGAAGGCACCCAAAGGCAGCATGAGATGATTTTACACGGGTAAACACAGGCCCTGTGCAAACACGAGCACTGTTTTCATGCTCAGGCTGCCGAGCACGTCGCGGACACTGAGCGTGCCAGAGGCTTCCAGGGCACCAAAGGGCTGGGCATCATTCCAAGCTTTCAAAGMGCACAATAGATGACACAGTCTGTCCATCTAACTCTTCTGAACTGGTCAGTAAGCTAACGAGGAGCTAACATTTGGAGGAGTTTGGTACAGAATAAGAAATGCATTTATGGGTACAGCTGCTTCTTTGATAAACGCATTTACAAAGCAGGTACTAAATGTCCTGCSTTTCTGCAGGCAGCAGGATCCAGGCATGGGTGAAGGGGTTTCTCCGTTGGGCAGCGCAGGCCCGGGCGGCAGCAGCTCCCTGCTCCACGGCTGGTTCACAGGACTTAACCCAAACGTGAACTTTCAGCTGCTTTTTATGTTGATCTTGAGTGGCAGGTGGGTATTTCACACCCTTGGTTTCAACGAGATCTCATGCAATCTGTCACAAATGTGCCTTAATAGATGCTAAAATGGTGACAGACACGTCTACAAGCCAATGCATGTTAACTACACTCCCAAAACAAGGCCAGTCAAGGCCTGGGCAAGTCATGCAACTTKGAGAACACATCACTTGGCTGTCCCTTTGTACGGCTGAGGCATCAACCACCTTCCAACGACAGCCACAGAAAACCACCACAGAACAACTTATTGGTATAAAGCAATGATATACACAAATGGTATATGTAAATGAACAAAAGCTCCTTCCTTCTACTGTCAGAAATGCATTTGGTTGACTTTGTGATCAGAGCTTTGCATTACTACAAAAGAAACCCAAGGTCTTGTTASACAAGACTGCAAGTTTTCTAAGAGCAGGAGAGCAACTTGTCTCAATCCATGAGCGGTTCCTACAGCCCCAACTGCTGTAGCACCAGACATGAACCTCGTCAACCAGGGGACATCTGCCCATCATCCACAGCACTGCAGAACTGCAGAACGGATTCACAGGGGATAAATGGCCCCTTAAGCCTCAAGGGCTTTGAGATATAGTCTGGTGAAGAAAACTACAGGTATGTTTTAGCTTATATTTTAATAATGTTATGGACAAAAAAATACATTCTTAACCAAAGAAATTTGACTTTTGGACCAAGATCATTTGATCATGGCCATCTAAACCTTTTATGATAATTGAAAAAATATGAGATTACTGTATAGGTGTCAAGGACTTCTGTGTCCTCTTTTACTGCATGTGACATAGGTCACTCTTAAGGACAAGGCACTATTTTAGATGGATACTGGGCTTATCCAGTATGACAGTGCCTATACTTGAACTGTTTCAAATGTTGTGGCTTGGTCTCATCTTTTTTTTTTTTGTTGTTGCTGTTGTGTTGCTAATCATGTGTTTATTCTGTACTTCATACAGTTAAACAGCTCTGGAAATAAGTGTATCCCAAGGAACACATGGTCTTCGAGAACTCTGTAAGGAACTTGATCCAATAGAGATCATCATAGGAAAAAATTCTGGACACTGTGGCTCCCTCTCGAAAGGAAAGTTCAAGCTCCAGGTCTCTGACAGCTGTTAGTTCTCCGTTCACACTTGAACCTGTGTGTCTGAACTCGTGTTGTGAGAAACTGTGTCAGCTTTGCCACAGACTTGCCCAGCCAGGAGCCGTGGGTGCCCYGGGGCAGACAGGGTGCACTCCAATGTGCCACTGCCTGGGGACRGCAGAACTGTCCACAGCAGCGACGTGCGACACTGCCCCTCCATGCTCCAGCAGCCCTCTAACCACAAAGCACAYTTCTGTGGTGACAGGTAATACTGGGGAGCAGAAGGAATCTCTCTGTGCAGCCAGAAGTCATTCTTGCAGCCTGCCTTTCTGAGGAATGAAGCTGATGTGATCGCACCGGGCCTGCTCGTGGGTATCCTACCGTAACGACTGAGTCCCCGCTTAATCTGTACCAATCCGTACAAATAGACTGGAAGAGACTTCCTGTCAACAGCATGGAGATAAAGAGGTAGAGAACAACAGATCTATGGCTGGTCTGGACTACGACCCATGACTACAGACACATCTCGAGTGAGGGGAGGACTGCAGCCTGAAATCAGCCCTTATTAGACATCATAGAATCCACTGCATAGGGAGCTGGTAGGAACGTGCCAACTATGGGAAAAGCTTCAGCAGAACATGCACCCACCAGGTCATCTAACCGCAGCATGAGGCAGAAATCCCCAGCAAACCACGAGCACGTAATAGTGCTCCTCCCTGAACTACTGGTATTTATTTTTCAATGAATATCTTCTGAGGGAGTTTATAGGATCTTGTGGCTTTCATCTGATGTACTAGACCTCACCTGGAGAATGAACTGTTTTGGAAGGCTTATTATAAACATCTTGTGTCCACACAACCTGAGAGCACAGTGACAGGAATGCCAGACAGAGGGGCCAAAATGAGAGCTCTGCCCCTAGCAGAGCCCTCTGCAAAGACCCTAGTTAGGCAGACAGTGCTATGGGACAACTTGCTCCAACAACTCCCCACGAGGCTCCAACGTGCCACCCACAAGGGCTTTGCTGAGAGCACAGTAATCAGTTCCAGCTGAGCACGCATGCACATAACTTAAAAAAGGTCTGGCTACTTTCACACTACGGGAGAAAAGGCTTTGCTGTCTGGAAGCTGGGATAACACGCTACGGAAACAGAACAGCCTTATTTATTTAGCTTGGTGTTTAGCTAAGGGTGTGTTTTGGAGCTTAAGAACTGGAACATCAAGATGGAATTGCATTCACTGCAAAAATTACATGTTTCTATTCGCTGGCTAGCAGAAGAATCCCCATAAAATGCTCTGCAGAGCKCTCTGCTTCACAGAGGAGTCCTCCAAGGTCACTGCTCAGCAGCTCAAGCCTCGGCCCTCCTACAAGGCACTCACTGTGCTAGACAGTTCCCAGGAACATATGTAAAACCCCTCTTGGGAGGCTTTCCTAAAATATCTAATCTAAACACCAGTATTGCTGCAGTTTTATATATATATCTTTGTGTGTTCTGGCACCTGATAAAAATTCCATTTTCAGCGAATGAGTGTCACCTGGTAAAACCACAGCTTCCACCGAGGATGTGCTTACAGCAGAGTTCATTTGTGGGTTATATATGGGATATTTCTTTTTCTTTTCTCCCAGAAACTCCAGGAAAGACATTTGAAAAACTCCACTTTTGTTCTTCTCGTTTGGATTTCTTCCCACTTGAAAAGGTACTAGCTAAAGCCCAGCTGTTTCCAGAAAAGTGACAGCTCAGCAGATGAACTCCTGTTGTGTACAGAACAGTAAAAGCAAGAAACCACATGCAGGTGCTTTGCCAAGTATTGATGAAACAGATACAGGTTCGTTGTTAAAACAAACACCAGTGCCTAATAAATGCCATCRAAGAGTCAAGGCTGGCCAGCTTCGGTTTCACAGCTCCTCTCGGGGTCCTGGGAAACAAACTCATAAAAAGCATCAGGGAGAGACCTAYTACCTGGCTTGGCGTTTTACGTAGTCACAGAGGCATCCAACTGCCTCATGCAGGAGAGGGGCCTTCTGATATAAACTGACAGATCTGAGCRAGCAAGATAGATACACTTGCTGCAGCCTCGCTACAGGAGGGAACAGTTCAGCTTCCTACTTGCTCAGCCCTTGCTGGAGGTGTCCAGACTTACACTTTTTTAGCAGTCAGCATGGAGTCTTGTGAAATATTACAGGCCTCTGATAACTTCATACCTTCATATTCACTGCACACAGGTTACTCAGMGAGAAGCACCTCGGTGGCTGTCGCTGAACTCAGGTTCAGACCGGTGACGATGTAGCTGAGGTGCTTTCTGAAACTGCATGATCCCAAGTGGAAGGATTCTCTGGTTTTGACTTTTTYGCATACAATTTAAAATTAGTGGCTCTTTTTAAGAAAGTTACAGTATATTGGGACAACTTAGTAATAATATAGACAATCAAGCAAGTTTACTGTATCCTTAAAACCAGTATTTAGCTACATTCATCTAAATTGCACTGTGGCTAATGTGTGGAAAACAGTGCTTTTAAATAACATTGTGCCTCATCTGCTCGGGATGAAGATGGAAGAGCCACTCAGTGCTCTGCTTATGGATGCCCTCATGCACGGCTGCTATAGGAGCCAGCAGCAGAGCTTGATAGCTGGAGAGGGATATCACATCAGTCTTTGCCCCGCAGTTACATTTGGTTTCCAGTGCTGAAAGGACACTTGCTTCTGCTGATTTATGGCATGGAGGTCCATACCACAAATCTTCCTCACGTGTTGAAGAAGCATGAGCTCAGCCTCCACCCATGACTTCCCAAGCACAAGGCAAGGCATCAGTTCATGCACTGAACGGGCTGCCGTGTCCCCCAGTGACAGCAGCAGGAGTGATGTGTGTGGCACAGCAGGAGGGTGCTCAATGAGGTGATTCCTGCTAGCACATCACCCAACACACACCAACCTGCCACTCCTGGACAAACTGGCATCCATCTCCCAATGCAGTTTCCTGAGCTCAAATCCCTCCTGAGCCCCCTGAGCCACTACCAGCCACCAGAGGGCATTTTGTAAGCATCCGATGCCAGGGAAGCTGCATAATTAATCCATCARCTATTAAAAAGCAAGCTCTGCTTTTCCCCCCGCCTTTATTTATTTTCTTAAGAGAAAAACAAAAACAGGCCTGACAAATAAAGACTGCACCATCTCAGTCAAAGAAAAAGAAGGGAATATAGGAACCAGCTAATCAAAATAATTAAAAACAGATTTTCCAAGATCTGGGCACTTACCTATTAGCAAGATCACTAACACATCTGTAATGTAATAGCCAAACAGGAAAGGTCTGTGCCACACTTCCACGCCAACAGCACCAGTCAGTAGATATGCTGCTATTAGTACCTATAAAAAAAAAAAAAAAAGGATAAAATCTTTTTAATCCTTTGCTTTAAGGGGAGAGGATTTCACTTAGCACTTCAATACAAACGCAAGAACAAAGAATTTGTTAGTTTCCTTTTATCTCCATACAAAATCACAGGAGCTAATGGTGCCACCCCAAAACAATCACTTTGAAGAACTAAGCCACTTCCAGGATAACCMACAAAATGATTTAAAAAGCAGGAATACACTAAGACAGCCCCTTCCCTGGTAACGCATGCATTTGTTTGCGTGGGGTGTTACTGGCGTTCGTTTTCAGAAAGAAAGTCCTATTTCTAGATTGCTTCACAGAGCCAGGGCTCCCTAATGCTAATGTTCTTCCTTACACTTGCACAGAGGTTCCCAAATCTGATTTAGCAGTGCAACACACTACTGTGCTGCTGCACAGCCTATTTCCCCCTGGACTGACCATAACGAAATGACCGAGAGGGAAATATCTAAGTTCCCAAGAAATGCACGAGGAATTCAGCCGAACACGAAGACATTGAAAGAGGTGGAGGACATTGAAGCCTTCCCTGGTTTTTAATTTGTTTGACAGGCAGTATCATAACAAGATGGAAAGAGAAACGGGYAGTCAAACTTCATTAAGTGAAAGGACTCATGCCTAAGACTCATGAGTTGCGTGAGTATCACCAGCTCTAGCACTGGTGGAAAAGCAGTTTCTACTTGTATTCAGAGTCTATTTTGTGACCCAGCTGAGGTCAGAAACCTTCACGCAGCCAAAATCCTATAGCAAGAGCTTCCATGACCACTGCCTCCTGACAGCCCATGGCTTGAATTACTGGAGTTTGTCCATCTGGAGTTTGCCATGTRCAAATGCGGGACTGTGCACATGGGGTAATGTGCACATGTAGGTTTCTAGCACCCTGCCCTTGATCCCATCTCTCCCCTCCCTCCGAAGCCCTTTCCTGCCCTTGCACAGGCCACCCACTCCATTACAGCTCCTGCAGTGCTAGCATCCACCTACCCCAACTTTCTTCCCCCCTCGTTCTGATGTATTTTCATACACAACATATATTCATATTTATTTATATGTGTTTTTGCTAAAGCAATCCTAAGGCTCAGTATGCTGCATGCTCTGCAGCTCAACCCCCTCAACAGTCCTGGACCTGGGTTAATGAGGAACTGTGAGCATTCAGCTTCGCTCTGCATCCGCACAACCAATGTAAGTTTAATGCCACTTCCAGGAGCAGGTATTCGTTTATTTATTGCCAGGTAACATTCCATAACTTTTTTTTTTTATTCAATACACCATCTCCCTTTGAAATCACAATTATTTTCCAACCTTACCTGCATAGATTTTATTATGTTTATTTTTATAAAATAACCATTTTTTACTATATTGGGGGTGTTTTTTATCAGCACATTTCCAGTCTTCTGAATTAAACTAAGGTAAACATGACTTCTTTATATTTAAGGTAAACTGAAAATCTTTTTGTAGATCACAGGCTATTTAAGATCCCAAATGAGCAGCAGAACACTCTGACCAATTAAGTTTCCAATGAAGTTTAGATATGGTTATATTTTATGTCACTTTATGTCACTCTCTGTGTATAAATTTAAATTCTCGCCCTATCATTATATAACTTTTAAAGATTTTTGCCCAAATAGGGAACAGCAGAATTAGATGTGTGAACTGCCTCCACAAGAATAAGCAGCATGAGAGATCTGCAATGGAGAGGTGCAGGAACTAGTATGAAAACCACGTCTTGGGCCACTGAAGACAGCAAGGGAAATTTTGGTGCAAATGCAGGATGTAAAATCTAATGGGTTTTACAACTGACTGCGGCTGATCTAACGGTGTTATAAAGAAAGTGCCTTGTATCCATACAGAATGATGGATGGACTCCTGGCCCCATCAACGYTGATGGCAAAACTCCAGTTGGCTTCGATGGACCACTTGAATTTACAGTCACACGTTGAAAGCTGGAAAGGTAAAAAGTTCTAGCTGTATCCCTTTGATGTGAGGCTTTTTTTTTTTAATTTGGCTTAATTAAAATCTTGCAAAATAGAAGACTGTTAAAATCTTGCAAAAAATAGAAGAATAGAATAGAAATCTTGCGAAATTGAAGACTGTTAAAATACCAGAAAAAATCTAAGTATGTTAGTCAGCTATATAAACTTGTTGACTGCTTTAGAAGATAGTGCTGGTAAAAAATAAATAAATAAATAAATAAATAAAATGCAAAGCACTGTTCCTAAGTGCAGCTGAGTACCTAAGAAGAAGACTAGATGTTTTATTCTTATCTCTGGCACAGATTTGCATTAGCACTTTTCAGATATTAGCTTTAATTTTTAACCAGCAAACATAGTTATAACATTTTGTAAATAAGAAGTCCATAATAAATGACAAAAGTAAAGACTGTAGAGCAAGTTAAGTATCAGAATATTTCTTCCACATGTAATATTTGGAGGATTCTATGCAAATAAAAGGTACTGAAATTCCTCAAAGCTCTCAGCTTTTAACCTCATAGCTATTCTCTCAAAAATCCAATTTTTGCAAATCCCCATTCCTTTCCCGTCTTTCCACCGCTGCAGGTGTGAGGTTTGCAACTGACGTATCTTAGATGGTATATATATACATATACACAATTCCCTCCCACCAAACCATTTCCTTTTCTGCAAATGTGTTTAACATGGAAGCTCACTGAATATGCGGCACGCTTGTACTGCACAGAAAAACAATAAATCAAATGCTTTTCATCAATTTCTAAAGTATACTGGCTATAAGTTTAAAGTATGACTGCGCAAAATGCAAAACACTAATTTTATTGAAAAATTCAACTTCCCTAGCATATCRTAACAGCATTGTTTATGTGTTGAAATATTTTCTATTAATCCTGTTCTGCAACTGGATCTGAACAACCGGAGAACAAGCCATTTAAAACATGGGATTACATTTTTCCTCTGAAAAAAATACGAGCAAGTTTTCCTAAAACAAAGTAAAAACAATAGTTTCATACACATGACTGGGAGTTAGTTTTAGCATGATGTGTGATTTAAATTAAAGAGGTTCCAAGTGTTTAAAAGACGTATGTATATTTGCCTCACTGCAACTTCCCAGTTATAGTTGCTATGAAAATTATTTTGGCCTAAGTTTTGTAAACTGCTTGACAGAAAAATGAAAGGTTAAAAAAATGGGCATACAGCCTCTGAAAAAYTCTTTCTCTGATTTTTTCCCCAGCTACTTCTCCTGACTGGGGATAATCCATCCCCTGATCCAGAATCCATCTGGATCAGGTCCGTTCTCACAGAGTTCTTATCTTTACTTCTAAGCTTTTATTTTGCCATTACTTTCCTATATTGCTTAAGATACTGCAGCATCTTAATACTGCTGAAGTCTGTGGTACCAGTGTAAGCAGAGGTGTCCCTAGGTTACCATTAGGGCAAAATGAACACTTTGCTCCCCTACTATGAACTCCCCTGCAGCAGCTTATGGAAAGCAGCAGTAGGGATTGGGGATGCTTAAATATTTCAGGGGGAAAATACGTTTTTAAACAAGGAAGATGTCCGCAAAAATTAAYAGACAGCAGGAAGCAAACCTTCATTTCCCAGGAAAACTTTGCCTTTTTTTKCCTCTAGGAAACTTAATCTGAAGGTAAGGACTTTCTTTGCTCAGGTTTGTGAAACAAGACTGGTTTTATTTTACAAGAGGTATCTGAAAGGCTTTCTCAAAGCAGAGAACGAGCATTTCTTTTTTTAGTCTTTTCCTCAGGGCACAGTTTGGGCGGTTGCTAATCGCCGTGCCTACTTTGTGCCTATTTTGAAGCGTGTGCATTGCAAAGCGGCCCCGATGGCCTGGTCTGGACGGGCTGCTCTCCCTGCACCTCCTCTGGCTGCAGAGCTGCAGGTCCCAGGGCTCYGGGAAGGGTTTCGCTACTGCCGGCACCTTCCCCTCGCGCCTCCGCCAACAAGCACCGCCGTGCGCAGAGCCAGCGCCCGGGGCCCGCTGCAGCCCTGTTTCGAGCTTCCTATCAGCGCTGCCTGCTGTGACCAGAGCTAACTGAAGCAGCTCTGCTAGCCCAGCTGTCGTCATTAGGCTGCCAGTCCTGGGGAGCCACCACGGCGCGGGCAGGCGCGACCTGCCGCGGGCTGCACATCGCCCTGTTTGTAACGAGGCCTTTGGCTTTTCCTGAGGAGCAACAGCTCTTTCTGTGCGTCAGCATCACAGAATCCCAGAATCCCAGAATCCCAGAATGTTCAAGGTTGGAAGGGACCTCTAGAGATCATCTAGTCCAATCCCCCTGCTCCAACAGGGACACCCAGAGCACGGGGCACAGGGCGTCATCCAGGCAAGTTTGGAGACCTCCAGAGAAGGAGACTCCACAGCCTCCCTGGGCAGCCTGTGCCAGGGCTCTGTCACCCTCACAGGAAAGAAGTTCCTCCTCACCTGCAGATGGAACTGCCTGTGTTGCAGCTTGCACCCATTTCCCCTTGTCCTGTCTCTCGCCACCACCAAGAAGAGCTTGGCCCCTTCCTCCCTACATTCACCCCTCAGACACTGGTACATGTTGATAAGATCCCCTCTCAGTCTTGTCCGAGCTGAACAGGCCCAGCTCGCTCAGTCTCTCCTCGCACGAGAGATGTTCCACTCCCTTAATGATCTTTGTCACTCTCCGCTGGACCGTCTCTAGAAGCTCCACATCCCTCTTGTCCCGGGGAGCCCGGAGCTGCCCCCAATACTCCATGWGCAGCTCCCCAGGGCTGGGCAGAGGGGCGGGATCCCTCACTGCTGCCCAGGCCAGCGCAGGGCAGCCGGGCCCGCGAGCTGCTCGAGGGCTACGTTCTCACGGAGGCAACGGCTGGGCACGGCACACCTGCAGTAACTGCAGTGTTGTTCGGAGCCTTGCCATGACAATGAAGTCCTGAGCTCCGGGCTGCCAGGAATCCGGGCCTAGCCCACCGGGGTGGTTGACACGCCAGTGCAACAGCATCATCTTGCCATTGAAATTACTTAAATGCCTTCACCTTGCAATCCAGCTTAAAATGTCACAGGAAAAAATAACGAACTGAATGCTCGGAACGYGGCTGGAAGCAGCCTGCAAGAGCTCCCTCCCTCTGTTCCTCTGAAGGCGACTGCAGGAATATCTGGCAAGAAGTGGTGAAAAAAACCAGCCCAGGCATCGCTATCTTTCTTACTTATCATTAGCTATTTGCTAATGACCTCAATATCCTCTCCTACAAATACATGGAGATGAATAACTGCCTTTAATAGCACACCCATCATATGAAATTGCTGAACTGGTCTGCAAAACAGGAGCAAGGCAACRTTTGTAGTAGACTTAACATAATTTACTGGACCACTTAGTGCACCTAGAAAAGAGTACACAAGCTTTCTGGTGTATCTAACATAGAGCCYGGACCACAGAAAAAATACTACCATGACCTACAGCCCTTGTCTTGCTTTTGTCCTTAGATAATTGCAGCTGCAAAACTACCATTTACAGAGAGGAAAACTGATGCACCGGTATTTCTAAGGCATTTCTAAGGCACAATCTACTACTACTGGAGTGCTAAATATAGGAAAATTTGCTCATCATTTAGACTGTAAGCAAATCATCACAGAGGTCACTAGAAAAAAAAGTCATACAGGACTGCAATTCAGCATCAAAAGGCAACACGAAATAATTAGGTGTTAGCATCTTGCAGCCAAGTTAATCATACTTGTTTACAGTCTCTAATAAAATTAAGCCTCACCACAAATCCGCAAGACAGGRGAATGTTATTGCTGTCATTTCCCAGATGGGAAAGCTGTCGCAGTGGCCGAGGTCACTAACAGGCCCTGGCAGAGTTAGCAGGAGTGCTCCGTAGTGCTCCCACATTTAGCCACTAACACGGTCCTGATGCTGTAGCAGTCAAGAGGAGCTTTCTAAGTATTTGCATGTACATCTACAGCAACCCTTTAAGCAGCCAGTGAAACTGGTTTGAACATAGCCGCTGCTCTCCTGCTGCAAGGACCTCGCTGGGAAGCCTTGCGCAGATAGGGCTGACACTTGCAGAGCAGCTGGCTGCCTAATGCCTCCATCCTGCGCCAACTTCTTCTCCCAGCACCGCTCTTCCAGGGGATGAAACAGATGCGCCACAGCTGGACCAGCGCCCTCGAGTTGTTCTTAAAACACTGCATTTTGATCTTGTTTACAACAATACATCTGCAGCCATCAAATCAAATACTATTTTTTCCATTAAAACACATATTTGAACATTTGTCAAACTGCCTTTCAATTACACATATTTGGCTCCACCTTTCATCTCATGGCTGGGACAGGAAACTCTGCAGACTGRGACTGTCCTCTTTAGGCTGCCTGGCAATTTCAGAAGCTTGCTAGCCCAGAAATCCTACGCCTGGGCCCTCGCCTGCTTGTGCAGTGAGGCTGCCGCTGTTGCTACTACCTCTTAGCACCTCATTCATGCAATAAGGCTGTGGTGCCCTGGTCAGGTTTATGAAGAGGTCCACTCAGAGGCAGGCCTGAAAGCCAGGCAAGGAGGTCAGCTGGGAACTGGCTGCGGGCTAGTAAGGAATTCATGTTACTGAATTCTTCGTGTTTACACAGTTCTCAAAAAACAGAAGTCTAAAGATATGAGTTTGCTTTATTTTCACCCGAAAAAGCCACCTGATGACAATGCATGTCAGTGCATAGGTACAACCTTATTTCCACTACCGTATTCAATATAAGAGGTGGCAGAACAGAGAAGTTCAAGTGTTATATAATACCAACAATGCCACAACTGCTAACAAATACTAGCTGGACTAATTCACATAGTGTCTCAAAGCCTCGTGTTGGCAGGATAATTTATGTTGGCTTATGGTTTTAGATAGGAAGATAATTTTTATTATTATCCCAAATGAAATGCAGTTAAAGGATGTTCTCGTGTGTGCCACCTGACTGCTAGGCTTGCTGGAAACCCATTCCTTTAAGTCAATGAATCTCTGATGCTGACAAATCGCTTGAGAATGTCTCTGCATTGCAAAGGCAGGAAATACTCCTGAAGTACCTTCAGGGTTACACTATTTCTCATTCAAATTTTCAGCCAAATACATTTGCCTTGAGCTGTATTTTTTCTATTTCTGTAATCTAATGAAAACACTAACATAGTTAAAAAAAATAACAGGAATGATAAGTACTCACCACTTGGCTGAGATCGTATCCCCAAGGTAGAAAAAGAACTCCCGTGTTGTATTTTTCCCAGTGTGAACACAGGAAGTTAAACAAGACAATGCTTAAATATAAATACATTGTATATACAGAAACTCCAGTCTTCCCATTGTCACGGGAACAGACAGAAAAAAAAGAGAGCACAAAAATGGAGGTAGCCCAGCTATCCAGTCCATGGTCAAATAATTCTCCCAGAGGACTACTGGACTGAGTCCTTCGAGCTTGYTTCCCATCTATGGAGTCTAGAAGGGTTGAGAAAGGGAAAGAAACAAGGAATTAAAGCAGAGCAGAAGGAAAAACTTTTATATATACATATATTTTTATATAACAAATACTGATGACAGGAAATTGAAGCACAACAGTTCCTACAATACCAAAATGTTAGCATAGCTCATGAAATATTTACCTAAATTCTCAGGCAATTCTTTTACCTGCCATTCTTCTACTGATGCCACCTTCCTTACAAGCTTTAGAAAGACACTCGCAACTACTTGTCCCCAGATTTCATGTGCCCACACAGCCTCTCTGCCACCCACTGGTCTTGTAGGTGCTCAGAGGTCACACCTTAGGAAACTGCATTGGGGGGACATTCATTCAAGCATTTAGGTCACCTGATGTTAAATACTTCAATGACCAACAGTTAAAKGGCTCCCCAGAGGAGTGATTTTCACAAATTTATCAGTGTGCGTGTGCGCAAACAGAAGATAAAAAGAGTTTATTGTTGAAATTTTAGAGTTTGTGAATGCCTTACTGTTATGGTGAGTTACGTATTGATTGCTCTTAACACACAGGTGATCAAAGAGTGCCCAGATACCACAACAAATGTCACTATGAGAACAGTCTGACARTATGTCTTGAGTCTATCTGACAGCTGACTGCTATGGCAAAGGGGAGGACCCTAACTGCAAATGGGAGCTTACTGAACTAGTGGAAAAAGACCAAAAATTAAGTTTTCTTCAGGGTTGTTGAACAGAATTCGCTCAATGAAAGGTACAAAAAGCCATGGAGAAGGCACAAGGCAGGAGTAGGGAGTGCGGGGAGAAGTTAAAAAGGAGACTGGCTGCGGTAAYTCCTCTTATTTGTACTATCAAACCATACCCTTAGTCTTCTCTGAGATGGTGCTGGAGAGGCTTTCAGAACTAGTCTTCTTCTTAAAGCTAAATGTAATTATCCTGAAACTCAAAATAACATGGAAAAGGACTTTTTTTTTTTTTTTTGTAACATTACTTGGAAAGTACTATAGSTTACAATTATTAGCTAATGAGAGCATTATTAACCCATAACTCACTGAAGGGAAAGTTCAACCTAAGAAGACCAAAGAATCCACAGCTGCTATAGATCATATGCTACTTACTCCACAGGATTATTTGGCAGTACTGCGAGTTTTGTCTAATGTAAATACACTTCAGGGATCTAAAGCAGAAAATTGTGGGATTTCATTTTGTCACAGGTTTTAGACTATCACCCTATTACCATACCTAAACAGCTGGGAGATATCCTCCACTCAGCTACAGATCTCTTGAGCCGGTTCTCACAACTCCAAAAATTTAAGATCTCATAGGGGATTTCAAACAGCTCTGGCCCCCTCTTGAGCCACGTTCTCCCCCCAGTAACAGTGCCATTGAGTTGTCAGCACCTCGTTGAAATTTGCAGAAAGAATATTGCATGTATAAGCTTGAGGTTACTTGAAGAGTGTGTTATAAATGCAGAAATTCTTTATGCTATTAAAGGATGCTGCTGAAACACAAGCAGCAAATAGGGATCTTAATATTTCTGAACATCTGGTCTTTCACGTATCTCCAGTCAGAGGCAACTGCTCTATTCCTGAATTATTTTAGGTCGTCACAAAAGAATATTCACATTAGGGGATAGCATATATAGGTCACAGTGAAACAAGGGGTTTTTGTCTTATAGGAACCTTTTGCTCAACAGATTTAAGATTATAATGGTGTCATGGAATACAATACTTCTGAAAATAACTAGAAGAAATATAGAAACTGTAAAACACATAAGCAAAACTGGAACTTCACAGAACATTTGCCCAGTTTTCCACGTGGCTTCACTATTTTTTTAAGACCTTGAAAATATTTCTGTTTTAGGTGTCAGTTTTCAAGTTTCTCATGACAATAATGGTATATGTTTAATAACGGATCGACATCATCCCATGCTTCCATTGCTTTGGAATTCCTGTGCCATGATACTGTCTATGAAGGTTTGTAAGTCTTCAGTTTTATTAAAGTTTATGTGACATAAATAATGGAATTCAAAGTAACAGCCAGGAACATTATGTTTTATGGAAAGGGCAAAGATATAAAATCACCTTAATGTATTAAAAAAAAAAATAGCAGCATGCTTTAGAGTTTGGAGAGGYGAATCACATCATTAAAAAGGAACTGAGGGAGATTTAACTTGAATATTTGCTTAATTATGGCTCTTTGCAGTTTTCCAAAGGGAAAACTTTTGCCATGCAGAATTAAGTCTGAGGCTAAATATTTCATAAAGTGGCTTGGGAAGCAGACATAAAAATCTACATATGCATCACTTCCTTACAGCTTTGACGGTCAACGTCGTATTCCTTGTCTTCTGAGTATTAGGAGCTATACATCTCACTGGCAAATATCATCTACATTAAGAACCTTAGAAGCTAAATTGCCAATGAGTCTTCTGGCATGTTATGCAATAAGAAAATTATCTCCAACACAGAATTCCTAATAATGAAACAATACCYACTTCATTAAATTCTCTGCATCAGAAGAAAAGACCCCAGAGCTTCCCAGCCCCTAGAAAAAAAGGCTTCTGATGATGATGATGATGATTATAGAAAAATTACAGAAATCTGACTGATAAACAACTTCAAGTGATGGCTGCATCAACAATTTATATGGTAGAAATATAAAGAAATTCTGGACAATAAATGTTGGCACGAATTCAGCACTTGGCTAAAAATGCCAAGGCATTCAACATACAGAGAGGGATGTCTGCACAATGCAATGCACAATGCAGTGCACTGTAGTTCACCAAGATGACTCTAAATGCATGTCTTGGAAAACAAAAATTGTATATCCACCCCAATACTGCCCTCTGTACTCATTACAGACCTTGTGCTAAGATGGAGTACACTTCCCTGGATTTGCTAAGCCTGTATCTTTCCATGGCACTGCAGCATACACAAAGCACCCTATCTCGGGCAGGTATCTTAAATATGGTACACAGATAGATATATGGCTACACTGGGTACTCCAGTTCCTCACATGAACAAGCTCCACAAGTGCTGACATGTTCATAGAACCTAGTGCAGTCCATGCAAATAGGCAGCTTGAGTCCCAGGAAAACCTGGCTCTGTTGCACCATAATGTGGAAAAATTACCTGGTTTGAGTTTGCTCTGGAAGAGAAGGCAACATATAGATGCATCAATGACAATCTCAGTCAGAGATCTGCATCAGTTCAGGTCTGTATCTCAACTCACATTGCTGTGTCCTCACAGAACTGCACCACAAAGTGCAATGGACCAAAAAGTACRCAGCTTTGGAATGATATAAAGAGTAAGCAACATAAACTTGAAAAGGTGATTTGGGAGAAAGGCAGACATCATAAAACAGAATATTACATTAATTTCCTTTTTTTTTTAAAGAAGGTTTTTTTTTTTTTTTTTAATCAGACAACTTTTTTGGAGAGAGGTCAATAATATACCCAATAGGTCTCTGCATTTGCAAATCACAATTAGTGAACTAGGAGATAAAATTATATGAAGACTGCAGATGTATAGATTACTTCAGTGTACTTTACCTAAGGTATAAGCACAAAAGGTGGTAAAAGCACTGAAGAGCCACACCCAGGTTGGAATAAGCCCAGGACTGGTACCTGAAATAAATTGGACACAGAGTCAATATGATAGCACTTAAAAGAAATCCACCATGATTAGTACATACATATGAACAAACTGCCACTAATTAGCCTAATATGTAAAACAGAACTAAAGATAAAATTTTATTTTTGGCCTTMAATCAACTTTGCTCTTGAGTGAGCTCTATCTTTCGAGGAAACAATGACCAGGCCTGAATATTCTCATATGGGAATGGGAAGCCCTGTCGGGTTTCTGGCACCCTGCACAGGACCACATGGGTGCAGAGGTGCACCCATATTAACCTGAGGGATGCCAAAGCTGCAGGCAGCAATCGTGGAGACTTTTCACTCACGTTGCCATTCGGAGAGCAAAGATGCCACTTCCTGATTCTTTGCTGCAAATTTGCAAACTGCAGAATGGAAAACAGCTGTCCAGGAAATTACAGCTTTCAGCTCTGATCCTGTGCATGGGACTGAAATGTGATACTCAAAGGACTAGTTAGGTTGCAGGAACATTTTCAGTCAGTCGAGAAATGATGGATTCTGTTTTCATGTGAAATGAAGAATAGGCTTGCAAACTACACACACAAGTTTAAACTCTAAAAATACTTTATATCACTCTTTCGGACACCTTCAAATTCAATATGTGTCCACTGGGAATGTGTCAKGTGGTAAAATTATCCAGTGGAAAGGCCTGTACTGGATGCTGTTTCATTACAGAATTTAGTAAATATCAACTGTATCAATCAAAATCCAAGTGCACAAACATGAAGCTAGATAGTTATCTAACATACTGGCCCTTGGAAAATTTAGTACCTGTACAGGACTATTTTTGAAACAAAATTACGAACAAGTATGTCGGCTTCTAGACCTTTCTTAAGAAGTCTACAAACAGCTCACACCAAGAAGTGCCACCCAAACCTAATCACAGGCCTAATATATTAAAAGGAATGAAAAAAAAAACCAAACATAATTGCTTAAGGAAATAAAATGTTGAGTCATTTCCAAATTGCCTAGTTTAAAGAAAAAAAAAAGGATTGTATATATAAATCATGTGGCAATGTGGCAGATACTCAAGGCATTTTGGGTTTTTTTTTTTTTTTTTTTTTTGGATACCTGGTCTAAGGATTTCAATATTCCCTATGTTTAGGAACAGTCAGCTCCAAAAATCTTTTGACTTGTTCTAGTATCATGAGAAAATATGGGTTTGGACTTTGAAAGATATAATTTCAAGGAGTATTTGTTGAGGAAGTATTTCTTCTGTCTGGAAGCAGTCTTAGGGGACAGCAAACTTTTTTGTAGAGTAATGAAAGAAGAATTAATGTGTTCAGGCATGGATATAGAGATCAAGAAATGTGATAATAATGAAATTTTATGAAGAATAGTAGGGTGTTTTGGGGTTTTTTCTCAGTTACCTTATTTAAGAAATGACTGCATGTTACAATACTGGAATACCCTCCAAATTTAATGTGACATTATCATAGACTTTGAACAGCAGACATTGAAACCCATTTATAGGGATGAAACCAAATTAGATTTTCCAATAAAATGGCCTAAATATTTAATGCCAGGTGTGAGGGCAGATTCTCCTATATGCTCACGGAGACTCATTAAGGGAAAGGGAAGATTCAGGTATCTGATACCTCCCACTGTCATTCAGGTCTATCACATAAGCAGCTCTATAATTCTGAAAAATTACAACACGGGGATATTTACCTGAGGCAGTGTAGTCCCAGTCATAAAAAGTTAGTAGAAAATAATTAACTAAAACCATCACAAATCCAGAGAATGTTAGCACGTTGGGAGCAATCCATAAAGGCACTATCTGTTAAAAAAAAMCAAAAAACTATGAAAAATTGTATTTCCAATGAAAAGACCTACTTGAATTAAATATTTATATTTTTATCAGGAAAGAAGAAACCCGTATATGACATCCATAATCTTCAGATTTCTGTATCCGCTTCCATTTTAATTAAAAAAATACTGTTTTCATTTCTGAAGCAACTCATTTTTAAATGCCATTTCTCTGCCTGGATCTGTGACTGCAGTAAAAATGTAACTTAGAAACACTGCATTTCAGGTGTTACACACTCTCCTTCTTCTCCCAGACTTCGCAGACACCAAGGGAAGTGTCTCCCGGTTTTGTGCAGCCCAGCTCCAAGAAGGCTGCAGCACCCCAGTGTGGCAGCTCTGCATCTGCATGGCAGCTTTTCAGAGCACTCTGTTCCCATACTCTACTCAGCAAATCGCTGCCTCTAAAATAGGTTAACACCTCAACTCAAAACGCCCACAAAAGCRAGGCACTGAGTGCATCACTCTGGACACTCAAAGGAACCCCCTGCTGCAAGCAGCTCCCTGATTCTCCAGGTATTGACTTTCTGCAGAGCCTTTAGCCATAAATTATAAATATTACCTCCATTCATTTTATTTTGCAGAGTGTGGAAAAGAACTGTCTCTCTTCACCTGAGCCTCTAGCCCTTCCTTTGCATTATCCATTCTCAACAATTAGTCCCCTGTGGCTTCATTCCTTGTAGTACAACAGGGATTTTTCCTGGCAAAGCTGTTGCCAAGCCAGACGGTTTCTCCAAACGAGTTTCCGTGACAGTATACACAGATTTTTACATATTTTCTGGTCAGAGTCTACTTGCAGAAACACTGCCTAAACGGAGACCACTGCTGTCTCTCAAACACTGTCAATACATTCCAAATATTTTCAAATTAAGGCTTAGACTCAACTGGAATGACAAAGGGGTGAAAATGCACAAAAAGAAGTGCTTTAACACCACAAAACATTTCAGAGCATTACCCTTYCTCTATGATACTGTTATGCCAAAAATCTGCATATAAAAATGGAATGCCTGTAAYTAATGATTCTGATTAGACCCTCTTCCTGCTATTACAGTACAAGCAATCAATAATATTGAGAGGAAATTGTGTGACTGATAATGTCCAACATATACTTTCCAAACCTGGGCAATTCCTGAATAATTTTCAGTTGTATTTCTTAGCTATTTCTTCTAATAACATTGGAAAAGTTACGACATCTGATAGCTGCCTTCTGTAAGACTAGGATTTTATCAACAATTTTAAATTCTGTATGGCAGATCTTAAAGTAATAGAAACACAAATTGAAATACCTACCACTAGAATGATAAAAAATTATTACACACATTTTAATATATCTAGCATTATGAATTTTAAAAATTCTAATCCTAAATTCCAAAGAACAAGTGACAGCAAGTATTTCCTGAAGTTCCCTTTATGGGAATATATAAGGAACAACTCCTTGGTGCCCATTCCCATGTTATTAAATTCAGTGACAGCATCACATCTGACCTTGGTACTTGGGGATGCAGAAACTTATTAAGATGGAGGCTTGTCATGAACCTGCTGTTATGCAGTTTGCCAGATGTCTCTCACCTTACACCCAAGAATGACTGGTACCGATGGAGACCTTCTGGATGGGTGTCTTTTACTCTAAAGACAGGCTCCAAGGGGACAACCTATGGATGAACCATTGACGTGGACATATGGATGCTCTGCAATGTACTCTTAAAAACAATTGATCAATGTATTTTGAAAGTATTCCATCTGGCAAAATCCCCTTTGTTGTATTCAAAGCCCTGGATTCTTTGGGTTCGCCTGCACTGCCATCACCCTCCGTAACAACTCAAAAGGCAGCCTGGCTCTCTGGTACCCTGCACAGGGATCCCTGCATCGCTGGCTAATTAACAGACGGTCCGAGGGCAAGACCCTAACATGGGACATGATACAACTCACGGTGCCATTAGGGAGAACCTCATCTCTCCTCTTGCAAAACCACTGCACGTTCAGATATTTAACACAACCTTGGGTTCCACAAGCTGCTCACTAATTTCTGCTTTAACAGGTCTAGTCATTCACACGAAAACCCTTAATATGAACAATGAACATTTAATTCAACTGCTGGTTTAGGTATTAAACCATAAAGTACATGTACTTAYATGAGGCCCTGTTTACACTTGAAACATTGCTTGACTAATTCACTTSAGACCACTAAAAATCTACTTATTCTAAGGATAAAATCAATGTTCATAAGAGTAACTGTGTGTATGCAGGGGGTAACAGACTTCAGTGGAGCTGGCACACACCTGAGCACCCTACTGCAATTTGCTCCTTTTCCACTTACTGCCTTGCACAAATGTGATTTCTCCTTGTAAAAATAAGATTTGAACACATTTACTAGGATAGCACTATTCTATGTACTATGCTGTATTGAGAACTATCCTGTAGTGTTCCTGCATCAGATGGGAAAGTTAAAATCGATTGCTGTCTTCAGCATTCAAACCAAGCAAAATGCCAAAGAAAACCCAGTGCCCACTCCAGATCTGGCTTAAACACTCAGATTTCCCAGTCTGTGAAACTGCATCTCGGTCCACAGTTCTGCTTTGGTTTCCTCTTTAGCAGGAAGGGAACAAAATCACGTCTGGGTAAAACTGAAGGAGCTTTAAAATAATGAAGAGGTTACAGTGGTTTCTACAGGATCTCTGATGCACTTGTTAGGTTACATAGGCACTGGCAGCACAAAACTGCAACTGCTAGAGAAATTTACCCCAAAATGAAGTTCTGCATCATAACACTGCTACTCTGCCCCCCATTTGATAGCAGTTGAATTCTCATGGATCTCCAAACCCAGGCGAAGAGTATGGAGTAAAAGCCGTGGGAACACGTGGCCAAGGCTCTGCCCTTCCTCTGTGTGGATTTTCTGCCTTGCTGCTTCCCTCCCTGGTGTGGTGGGAATAGAAACAACTGGCCCTAAACTGAGTTTCTGAAATCAATTTAGTGTCTTTGAATTGCTTTCTTCTCGTATCTTGTTCTGCTCCTTTTTGATCCTGAAGCTAGGTCATATAAAAACTTTTATGGAATTACATAGGCTATGAACAGGAGATTATGATTTTCTGCTATATTAAGCATAAGTAATAGCTGGGTTATAAACCGCAAATACGACGAATCCAACTGCATCCCAACCACATATACCCATTTTATGCATATAAGTTCATATCCAAGTCTGTTCCAATCCAGAGATTTTCATTTAAGAGACAGACGCAGAAGTCACTGCTTCCCGGAAGATCAATAAATTTTATGTTTATTTGAGATATAGCCTCTATTTTTTTCCCAGCAAAACTGCTTGTGAGCAGTTCTGTTTTCAGGAAGGGCAGATCCTAACATGAGGATCTGCCGCCAGGTCCCAAGTGCTCAGATATTTTAATTTCAGCTTTGTAGGACAATGGCTGTTTTWAAATGAAATCTCTCTCTTGCATCTCAAAACAAATTCTTACATTATAATTTCACATTCTATTAAATAAGGCTCTTACCTTAATAATTTTGTCCCAGAGGGGCTGCATAACATACACGGATAGCGGGTTTGTATCCACAGCACTGTACTGTGAGGAAAGAAGCAGACAGGTGAAACAGAGCATTGAGGAATGAACTTTTTTCCACCACTGTAAATCCTTCAGCCTCTAAGATCAATCATTCTGAATGTGGCAGGAATAAACGTATTTCATTCTGATAACCACTCATACAGCTTTAATTTAATTAAGAAACAGTGACCCGGTTTACAGAATTGTTAGCAGCCTTACATTCAAACACAAAGATCTGGTGATCTAGTGATCTTTGTGTCTGTTCACCAGATCTTCTAGATCTAATGATCTAGTGATCTTCTASATTTGGTGAACAGTTCTGGAAAGACGTTTCCGTAAAAATCCTTACTCCTTTTACAAGATCTCTGATAAAAGTCTCCACTTTCCTGCATTTTTGGTTTAATTATCTGTATTTGCACCACTAGCGATGCGAGCTCAGCAGCAGTTCACTGCCCGCCTGGAGAATCCCTAGTGCATGGGGTACGTGGTCCCAAGCGGGACGTTACCTCACACGCACTTGTGGGGACTGACACACAAGCGCCACATTTGTGCAAGCTAATTGCTGCAAAGCGATGTCACCGTAAAAATAAGCTCTAGCAYAGGCTATGGTTAATTGCCAAAACAAAATTTCCCTCCTAGACAGACTTGTAAAAGCAAAATCGTATAAATTCCAACAAGCACATATCTGCATCTTTTCCAAATGCACAGAAGAAAGAGTTTCACTGGTACCACCTTCAGCTAAGGTCCTGAGTGTAGGAAGGTCCTGCGGGGTAGAAGTTAGCATTCCTTTGGGTGGGACGTGTAATTTGCACAGAATTTCTTGGACTGGGAAAGTATGCACGTGGGGGAGGTTGTTAGCACGGGGTAAACGACCCACACGTATTCTTGTATCACTTTGTTCAAACATACGTATGTGGACAATGCAAATAACACGCAGATTACAGACATCACAACTTTCTGAAGGTGACCGTGAGCACAGGAGTTGATAATAGAGTGGAATTCATTTTACCTAACTTTAACTACCAAGTAATGGTCCTCTCTCCATAGTGATTCTCTCTGTAGGGAACTTMTCTCTCCTGTTTGCCAACTACGACGCCTTTGCAAGAGATTGCACTCCAGAAATACCTGTTCCTTCACATCAGCTATCAAAGAAGCCCAGATATGTATCTTAAACTAAAGCACCTTTTAGATAGCTGATATTAGGGACTCCACTGGCAAGTGCAAGCAGAACAGAAGATTAATGCAGCATGTCTCAGCCTTCATCACACCATCTATGACTTTGGCTCTAATCTTTCCAGCCTACTGAGGACGACAGGCTACAGGCTGCTCAAGACTCCTCTTTTCTATGTGCACACAAAGAATAAATTGCAACTACTTTCCGGAGAAAATAACACATCTGCTCAGTTATTTTAAAACCTGGGGTTAGGTTTTGATCACAGGTAATAAATGCAGTATATTTTTAAAATTATTTGAACATATGTTGCATGTTATATGTTATGCACTTGCAAATGTCTAAGAAATTGCCTAGGAGCTACTGGTCAGAAGGAGCAAAGCATTACTTTAGTGTATCATTTTTATTGGCTTCTGCCACCTCTATTATTTGAAATGTGAAGCGATTATATCATCAGAAACTTTTCTGCCAAAATATATACAAAAATCATTATTAAATAAGTTATGTCACCAAAAAAAAAAAGGATTTTGCAAGTAAAATATGTGAGACAAAGTGGGTTTTTTTTACTGTAAAGTTTCCAAAGGCAAGCACCTAAAAGCAAAATGGTTCTTATCTGTTACTAAAAAAAAAAAAGTATTGATTGCATTACAGGGAGGTTCTATAAAGTCACCTAAAGACATTTCAGGAACACTGACCCTGAACCCAGTTCCTTCCTATGTCTGTGGTCTTCTGGAAGGAAATGGAATATAGAGTAGGAATGAAGAAGCATGGAAATCAGCTTTTTCCACTCTGGCAATCAGCGTGTTTCAAGGTGCCTTAAATAATCCGGAGGCTGTATTGCAGCCCATCTCTGTGTCACTTTCGAAGCATGAAAATGAGAGTTGTGTCTGTTCTAAGACCCCAAAGCACCCATTGACATAGCACTGAATGAGGATGAAAACCAAAAATGGYCCAAAATGCCATCTGGGACCAGTCTCCGGAGTGGACTATGTCAAAGTGGTGCCTGGCTGTTGTCTTGGTGGGAGCTTCTTGAAAGGAAAAGAGACCCAGGGAGAGATCTGTCCATTAAGCAAAGCTGGGTCTRGTGCTCCGGGGTCCTGCTTGGCTTTCTCCAACATTGCGCTGCAGAGGGAGCTCGGGAATGAACTTTGGGAAAGAATACAAGACAGGGAAGAATATAAAGTGTGTCCACACAAGCTTCAGTGACAGGAAAGGATTTCTGAGGTAACCCTGGGCAGTGCAAGTGTCCCGGCTACTGAGAGAGAGTTACTTTAACTCAGGCAGATCATGACTGCAACAGGCAACCGCTTTCCTTAAACTGCCTGCAGGACAGCACTGTGCCACACAGTCGTGTCCATGCAGAATAAAAGCTCTGTGTTTTTACATTTGAATCAAAATTTACTATCAAAATAAGTGTGTGGGCTTTAATTTCATATGAGTAGTGATAAAACTGCAACAACTGACATGGGGACTTATATGGAGAATACAAATATTGAGATGTTTGCTCTTTTCCTGCAGGCAGACTCAGCCAGGTCAGGCCCAAGTATGTAAAAGAATGAGGTACTTCCTATTTRTTGTAGGGGAAGCAATTGAATGAGAGCCACTAAAATGCAGTTAGTTTCCCCCAAACCTCATTCCACATAAATTACATTGTTCCTCCCAATCTAAACCTGCTTTATAAAATTGAAGTCAAATCTGTAATTTTGAGTGAGCTCTGCATTTGCACAATCAGTTAAATCTGTTTAACATAAACGAGGGGTGGAATCATTTTATCCTCCTTCTAATTTAACTTTTCACAAAAACAAGAGAAGAYGAGTTAAAGGAGAAAATCATTCCAACAACTTAAAAACAAGCCAAATAATATATAAGACTGTGCTCTTTGAGTAAGTGATCTACTGGAAATAAYAGCCCTAGAGAAGCAGTTTTCAACCATATTTGCTCATGGGACCTTGGAGACTCCTAATTCCTTCAAGGAAACATGCAAGGAAACATACTGTCACCCAGCCTACACTTACACACAGATCGGCACCTCAAATTAAAATTTTGAGAGATCTACCAATAGAAAACTTTGAGAAACCACTTTTCAACAATGTATCTTCACAGAAACATTTAAGTAAGTGGTTACATTTTACTGTCTACCATTTGTGACCCAACTGCTCTAATAGTCTATCTGACCTAACACTCTACCACATGTGAAAAACATGGGAGGGGATAAAATAAAAGACRTTCCATAGAGGCAGTATGTGAGCTTTGCCATCCTCACTGCTCGTGCRATGCACGGGGTGTTTGTCTGGCTACCAAGAATCTCCACTTTCAGGACAGATTAATTCTTTGTGGTTTTGGAGGTTACAAAACAGCTCTTCTGGTGCAGGACGTGAATGCGGCATTATTGAAGTGAACTCTGTAAAATCTATCCCTTCTGGGCACCGCTTCTAGCCCAGCTATCATCATTAGGCTGCCAGTCCTGGGGTGCCACCAAGGTGCGGGCAGATGCAACCTGCCCRTGTGCTGCACATGGCCCTGCTTGTAACGAGGCCTTTGGCTTTTCCTGAGGAGCAACCCTGGGAAAAGGTTCTTTCTATGTGTCACAACCATAGAATCCCAGAGTGGTTGAGGTTGGAAAGGACCTCTAGAGATCATCTCGTCCAACCCCCTGCTCCAGCAGGGACACCCAGAGCACGGGGAACAGGGTGACATCTGGGTGGGTTTGGAGACCTCCAGAGAAGGAGACTCCACAACTTCCCTGGGCAGCCTGTGCCAGGCCTCTGGCACCCTCACACGGAAGAGGTTCCTCCTCACATGGAGATGGAACTGCCTGGGTTTCAACTTATGCCCATTACCCCTTCTCCTGTCACTGGCCACCACCAAGAAGAGTTTGGTTCCTTCCTCCCTACATTCACCCCTTAGGTACTTACACATATTGATYRGATCCCCTCTCAACCTTCTCTTCTCCAGGYTAAACAGGCCCAGCTTGCTTAGTCTTTCCTCATATGAGAGATGCTCCCTTAATCATCTTTTTGCTCTTCAATACCTGCAAGGATCTAATCAAGAATCAAACTCACCTAGCAAGAACCCTCCATCCACCTTTTGGATTCCCAGCACATACTAAACACACATTTTAGTTCTACCTTATATATATTTTACAGGTCTGTAGAATTTATGGGGTACGTCCTTGGATTTTAACAAAACTTAACAAGAACAACAAGCTATACAACACCACAAACACCAAATAAATTAAAAAAAGCACTTGGCAGTTTAAATGTGATGACACATCCCAGAATACCAGCTGGATAACACTAATACTGGAATTACTTCATGTGATATTATCAATTAAATTTTCCTAAGTAATAAACTTATTTCTTATCTCCTATTGCTTAGTTAGTTTGGACCACTCTGCCTCACCAGTTCTGGTTGATATTGCTCAGTTTTTAGGAAGCTGTTGTTATGAAAATTGCTGTGTGGTGGCTGCCTCTTTGTGGGTTTACACTCATCCTTCCGACCTCCCGATTTTCACAACGCCTGACACCTGTGCAAGACCAAATGCCACATCCTGTCACTTAATGGGATATCTAAACACCTAAGCCCATGAGGTCCTGGGGCACGTGGGGCTGTTGGTTTGGCCAAGATGCTCTTAGGAGTCAAGTACAGTAACAGCAACCACAGCCTGCCTGCATCCCAGAGCCACGGCTCCAAGATGACAGGACCACAGGACAGGACCACAGGAGAACTCTTTCAGGCCAGAGGGGACCTCACGAGGTCCAACCTCCTTCTCCAAACATGCTCAGCCAAAGGTCRCTTGGCTTCTTTCATCTGGATGCGTCTTGCAAAGCTCCATGGATGGAGATTGCAC